CAAAATAAAAATTTCTCATTGTTAATGTGACAAGAGAGTCATACTTATAATACAATACATTTCAAATAACCGTAAGTATTGTTTTCTTATCATATTAGTAATAGAAAGTTTTTATTCGGATCAACTCTTGGGTAAATAAATATTTTTTGCAAAATATACAAAACAGGAGATAAACTCATTCCTTATACAAGAGATGCATGTCCAGGCCAAATTTTGATGCGCCGATCAGTAGGGTTGCGAATCGTCATAAATATGGATTTTTGATCATTTAAGTGATAGGGAAAAAAAAAAAAAAGAAGAAGAAGAAGATAGTTTTATACTAGTGTATTTCTTTCAATTTTGACACTACCACTTGCCAACAATTAAATTCAAGCTATTACAAACACATCTTGCAAAATGCATAACACTAATGATAATAGATTAAATAGAAAATCGACATTCTGATCGTAATTTATTACTACCAAAAGAAACATAACAAAGTTTAGGAATAACACAACATAAATAGAAACCCCATACTAAATTTTGTGCTCGATGTGGAGACATTGCCGATTTGCCGTATACATCATATATGCTAGTCCATTGTCTTCCTTGAATATGAAAATACTTGTGTCTCTATGAGTTGTAACATCGGTGTTGAGGATATTTTTGGTTGGATTTTTTCATGTTTACATTGAAAATTATGTGGTTGTATGAGGATTTCGTGAATTGTGAAAAGAGACATAGTTATATATGCGGTAACTGGTTGTATTACAAGTGAGAGAGATGCAACTATTTGCCGTAAAACCATTTAATCTTGGTCTTACAATTAGTGAAAATTTGATAGTAAGACGATATACAAGGAGTTCTGCCATCCACAATGTAAAGAGTAATAGACAACATGAATATGTTGGCGACATGATTTTTGTGAAGGTTGAGAACAAGAGAGGATCGATTTGTAAAAGAAAGAAGATGTGAAGGTGAAAGACTCTACAGATCGATGTTACTCTGTATAAAGTGTTATTTATCGGTGGATAAGAAATAGATTGTTCTTCTTAGAATCACTACGTCACTTGTATAATTTATTAAATTTATTATTCTTACGCGTTTTCTTGTGTTTGCTCTAACATTTCACCGCAGTAAATGTAATGAATAATTAGAGTTAATTTTTTTATTGCAATTCTTCTTTTTTGAAAAATACAGTATGCGATTTTCTTAAAATAAAATTAAAGTAGAAATTCTTAATGGAACATTTATAAAAGCTATTACTGAATTAAAATTATACAAATAACGTCATTATCGAGTTGTACAAAGATATTATTGTAATGTTTACTACTTTACAACTTCAATATATTTCAATGTAAAAAAAAAAAAAATTATTTAAGCACATGCCTATCACACTATCAACTAAAGAACATATTACACACGTTCGTTGAAGTAAATTAACTTTGTTAGTCCCTGTTTGACGTTCATTTTTTAAAACTTATTTTTAATTACACATTTTATAAAAAAAAACGTATTTCATCAAACTTTCAATCACATATTTTTATCAAAATCTATAAAAATAAATAATCTGATTTTTAACTAAATCAAACAGGGACTTAATCTCTTTAAAAATGTAACAATCACAATTATTGTTTGGATGTCTCGAATGTAGTCTAATTTAGCATTGTACGATCTTTTCAACAATAGGTAAATTGATTTATTCTTTTTCGTTAAT